ATTGAATGAACTCACCCTGAATGTGATGGCTGGAATTGCTTCTCTTTGGTGAGGCGTGTGCTGTGAGCTGGTACGGATGACGCCCTGCTGGCCAGCCATTCCCCACCGCTGCGGTAGATCAACCAAGACCCCTGAGTGGTACACATGTGTCATGCTCAGCTAGCAGTCAAAAGGTTGGCAGTTCAAACCTGATCAGCGGTCCCTGGAAGACTGCCCCAGCAATCTGCTTCTGTAAACATGACAGCCAAGAAAACCCCAGGGAGCTCAGTGACTCAAGGACAATGTTGTTTGTTTGTTTGTTTTTATTAGTCCAGTTAGACATACCAAGGAGCCCTGGTGACATTGAGGTTACAAGTTGGGCTGCTAACCGCAAGGTCAGCAGTTCAAAACCACCAGCCACTCCAAGGGAGAAAGAAGAGCCCTTTGACTCCCATAAAGAGTGACCGTCCAGGGGCAGGGTAACCTTATCCTATCAGGTCCCTGTGAGTTGGCATTGACTCGGTGGCAGTGAATTAAACATAGGAACTCTCTGGACTTCACACGCAGCATTCTCTACAGCCTGGTTCTGATGGATCTGACCAACCTCATCCCCCCACTCCACTGCCCAGCCCGCCTTCTCTGTGCTGCCAGAGCGCTGACTCTGGGGTCATTCTGCCCTCCCAGGCACTGTGCCTCTTTCCTGGAGGAGAGTGCTTGCCCTTCCATCCCTGTCCGAGTTCAAACCATCTTTTATTATTAATGTTTTTTAAGTAAGAGTTTCTGACTTTTACTTTTGCCCACTTTTGTGTGTGCTAAGGACAGTGTCTGGTGACCGCGGCGAAGGCTAACAGAGCAGATCACAGCTCTCCGGGCGACAGTTGGTCCACATCCTGATTCCGCTCAGCCATCGCAGTCCCTCTCTCTGCCGTCGGTCACTGACCCACGTCCTCCTGCTTCTGGGGTCCCTGCCACCTTCTTCCCAAGCCTTTGGACTTGATCCTTGGGTAAATTCTGCCTTTCCGATCTTATCGAGGTGATTGATTCAATATGTGTGGGGGACCAGCCCCCACAATCGAATGGGTCCAATGGGACGGTTGTGTAATTGAGGGGTAAAATTAAAGAGACAGACAAGATAAGGTATGCAAAGGCTCACCTCCGGGACCACCGTGGCTTCAGGAGCCAAGTCCGCGCAGAGAGAGAATATATTTCCAACCAAGGCTTACATACACTCTAGAGGCATGCAAGCCCCACTAAATGGCAGGCGACCACATAGTGGGCTGTACCCTAGCCCTAAAGGTCCCTGAGTCTACTGGAGGAGTAGCCTAACACCAGTGTGCGGGGCAGGAACAGGGGGAGTGGCTGTCTTCAGAGCCTAGAGGGCCTCTGTGTAGTTCAAGCTGCCAGCTAGATGGCAATCAGCCAGGTGCTTGTAAGAGGTCACCTTAAGTTAGCACTATGATGGGAGGATATAGTGGGGAACAGTATTAATTATGAGAATGTGATTTGGACTCACCTCCAACTCACAAGGGTAAAGGCTTCCTTCCAGCCTAGAAACCCAGCCTGCCAGGCTTCTTAATGTATGGGAATAAAGGATTCATCCATATACACGCTCTTCCAGTTCTCTGCTCCCCACAAATACGGAGGTGAGTTCTGCCCCAGACCTGAAGGGTAAGGCCCATTTTCTTAAGGGTTCCACCAGGCTGCCTCGGACCCGCACACCTGCTCTCTTAGGATGTTGCGTTCTGTCCCACATTTTTCTCTCACTCCGTGTTTTGCCAGATTTCGAAATAAAAAAATTCCACCCCTCCGGTTTTAACCACGGTCATCAGCGACCACTTTAGGAGCGTTTCTTTCTTCCTTCATTAAGACTCCGTTGGTTATTTTTTTAAAAAGAGATGCTGTGGCAGTTAGGGTTTATGTCAACTTGCACCTGTGTGACAATGTAGGGGCGAGGTCTTCAATCAGCTCACAGCCTGGTGATGCCTCCTTGGGGTTGTTGCAGCCTTTTTATGAGAGAGACACCAGGAAGTGTTCTTTCTCTGGCCCTGCAGCTTCCTCCCAACTGGGGCTCTGTGTGTCCGCCTCCAGAGGCCATCACAGGGGACGGCCAACCTCTGGGCATGTTTCCACCACCTTGAATCCACGAGCCCGCACCCACCGGCCTGTGCGTTGCTCCGTATCTCATTTCACCTTTCTTTGCCATCAGCCTTTGGCTTCCTGAGTCTGAAGAGGGTCCTGGCTGGCATCGGACCCCGGGACTTGAGTCGGACCCAGCGGGGATGCCCCCTTGGCATAAAATTACTGTTTGATACAACGTTCTCTCTTGTACATCTCTGAGTGGAACAGGTCTTGTTTCTCTAGACAAATGAGCCTAACAGATGCCATCGATTGAAATACACCATTGGTTTTAAGGACTTGCTTCAACTTAAGAAAAGGGAGAAAAAAGAAGAAATGTCGAAGGGATCAGGTGTAAGGCATCATCAGAACAAAAAACCTTACCATAGTGAATGAT